TTTATAACATTTTTTTTGTTTTGAACTATAGCAATGTACTTTAAACAATTATATATTTATTAAATATATATACCATAAAAGTAGAGTTGTTATATTTATCTTTTTCACCATCGAGATTAAAAAAAATTATTTTTTATTTATAGCATTGTATAAATATGTTGCAAATAAATATTTTAAAAACAAAAAAGACATGAAAATGTAACAATTTTAAACTTTTGTTTTAAAAATACACAGTTGACTCAAAAAAGTAGATATTAAAATAAAAAAAATTAAAATTAAAATTTTCTAATTATTAATTTTTTAATTAATTTTAATTACAAGAACTTGTAATTTATATAGTCAAAAGTTGTAAGTATTAAATAAAAAGATCAAAGACCCAACAATTTTTTCCACATTTTTATAAAAAACATTTATATTAAATAAATCAAAATTAATAATTTGGTATATGTTTAGCGAGTAGATTTTTTCCATCATATATATATATATATATATATATATATATATATATATATATATATATATATATATATATATATATATATATATGGAAAAGTGAATATACCCTTAAGGGTATATAAGTTTAGGTACCCAAACTCACTATATTACGTCGTTTTGTATCATATAATACTTTTTAATTGTCCAATGTTCTTATAATTTAACTTCTAACTTGATTTACTTCGATTATTTTTATAAATTACATATTTATGTTTCTCTTATAAAATTTTCATTTTCAACTACAATATATATATAGCCTAGTAGGTGTTCGGAAAAAATATGCGATGTAAAAGAAAGATAATAGTGAAATTTCGAAAATCTTGTAACTAAATCAAGTTAAGGGTTGAAGTTTAAAAACATTAAAATGAAAATATCAAACAAAATTATGTATTATGATATGTTTGGGTACCTAAGCTTATATACCCTTAAGGGTATATATATATATATATATATATAAAACATTGTATTTTAAAATTAAATTTATAACATTTTATTTTTGTTTTTTTTTTCCATTTATAGCATCCTACGTATACCAAAACCACATATTTTCACATAGTACATAAAAGCATTAAATACACATACTTTCACATACATATACCACATATACACCTAATACACATACATTCACATACATACATAATAACATCCTACTTATACCAAATACACATATACTTTCATATATATAGATAATAACATCCTACTGATACCAAATACCCAAATTTCACCTTCATATATCACATATACACCAAACACACATACATTCACATACATAATAACATTCTACTTATATCAAATACACACATACTTTCACATATATAGATAATAACATCCTACTGATACTAAATACACACATTTCACACACACACACACACACACACACATATATATATATACACCAAACACACATACACTGACATATATACCCAAAATTTATATAGATTCACATACATATATCAACACTACAAGAATAAAGACCTATAGCAACAACAAAAATCGTCACTTTAGGATGCAAAGTTGTCGCTATAGATGCCAGGGATGACATGTCGTCACCATAGGCCTAGTCGCTTTACCTATGCTGCTTTAGCTCATTTTGTCGTCATTATAGCCTTCGTCGCAATAGATACACCTAAAGAGACGACATGTCGTCCCCACAGGTGCACCTATAGAGACGACTTGTCGTCCCCATAGATGTTTGGACATAATTTACATCCTGTCCCTACTATTGGTTTAATTTTCTAGAAATTTTACATAAAATCAGATAAATAGTAAATTTAACTATAAAACATTTCAACATCATACAATCAAAAGCTTATAAAAAGATAGTTTATCATTTTGTCATACTTAGAAGCATGAATGACTCACATATAAAAAGATGGAACAAAAGATTATCAATACAGGGGAAGTTTATCATTATGTGAAACTTGGAATTTTTTAGACTTTTACAATTATGGCAACATACTTTTGTTGCACCTTTGGCATGCTTCTGTTTTGGCTTGGTTCAAAATATGTGAAAAACAAAATTTAGCCTCTATGAAAATAAAATTAATTATACTAAAAGATCTATCTACTAACAAGCTAAATATATATGAAATCTAATAACAACAAAATCCAATTATCCATCTTGAACAAATCCTGTAGATGATTACCTGGAAATCAACATCCCCAAGCATACATGCTTTCTAATTCCATTTATCCAAAAAACATACGGTGATTTAGCTTCACCGTTAGTATCAAACAGAATCTTCTACAGTAAATAACAAGGTCCAATTCCATATAACAAACAACTCTAAATCCCTGTAACAAACATCTCCAAGAAATTGAACCAAACTAGGGCTTGATCTTTTAATTTCCTTTTACCAAATCAAGAACTAAATAATTGAAATTTTGTAATGAATACTGACCTATAATTTTCAGTAGTAGAAATCAACATATAATAACACCTAAATCATATTAGATATCTTAATATTATGTGCGATATTACAAACCTTGAAATCTAAGAGTTGGTGAATATTGTGTCGTCATCACAGAGTTAAAGCCACGAGTACCTAGTCGGCAAAAAAACGGGGGCCCGGGGCCTCCTCTGGCCCCTTAAGGGTTCCGCCACTGCCCTCTAACAACATCTATCTCATGAATGAAAATAATAGATAGTGAACATTTTCTTGCATCATGGAAAAGATTTCGAACACGGGCATATCCATTACTAGCAAAATCACTAACCCTAAATTACTAACACATCACAAAATCATTAACCCAATAACAAAATTAGACAGACATACCTAGAAAAATAGGAGCTACTGGATAGAGAGAGGAAGCTAGAATCAGGGGAATTGAAGCAGTTGATGGAACCAGGTGACAAAATCTTTGCAGGTCGCCAAAATCAACACCAAGCCCAAAGCAGCGAGTCGAAATAACACATGGGACTCGAATTGTCCTCCCGAAGACATCACGTCGCAGGTGGTAGGCGGTGGTCGTTGTAGAGGCCGGCGGCATCAAAGGAACCGGCGAACATCGTAGTGGTGGTGGTCAGCCTCGGTCGTTCGATAGAGAGAAAGGGGTGAATGGTATGCGATTGTGAAGGATGGATGAGACGGATAGCTTTTTTAAAGTGACTTTTAACTTTTATCTTTTTTCTAAAAGTTAAAAAGATGTTTGGTAATCCTGACTTTTCCAACTTTTTCAATAGAGTAAATGATATCTTTTTGAAAAGTCAGGGAATCCTGACTTTTCCATCTTTTACAAGAAGGACTTTTTGGCTTTCAAAAGCTAAGCCAAACACCCTCCTAGCTTCCTGATCTGTAGAGAGTTGTGGCTTTGAAGAAAAATATTAAATTATTTTGTTTTATTTGACACGAATTTTCGTTCCTATAAATTTTCAATAACTCGGGAAAGGATAATGACTCTTGAGGGTAATTAACTTTTGCATTTGTACTCATTTGATCCATTTTTTTTTTGTATTCAATATACCATCGAACTTGTTGTTTGCGTTCACCATAACCCTTTTGACCTGTGATAGCCGGTCAAAGGGTTATGGTGAACACAACGAACAAGTTCGATGGTATATTGAGTAGAAAAAAAGGAAAGGGACCAAATGAGAACAAACTCAACAGTTGGTTACCCTCCTGAGTCATTTTTCCCGAAAATTAAAGTTGCAAAATTATCAAAGATTGCAACCTTCTTTAGCTATAACTTATGAAGAGCGTTTCAAAGGAGTAACCTTGTTAAAACATGGTCTGCGTTATGCTTATTGTGGTTAATTGTCAACACCTCTCTGCAAAAGGATATGACTATGTATGAGAAGTATATTTATCAGCATAAACGTTTATCTCAAGGTATATTATGGTAATGTATCTACAAAAGCAGCATGATATTGTACATATTGATGTTGTATCTTATCCCATGAATTCAATCTTAAAGCTAAGTAAACTCAAAAATCACAGCACTTGTGATTACACTCGTTTGTAGACTTGTTTAGAATCCATGATACGATAAATCATTTGATTGGAAATGTAAATGTAGTCATGAAATGCGTCTTCTTAGTCAAGATCTCCCTAATAAATGTTCAAGTGCATTACAAAGTTGTACATGTATAAATAATGTTCTTTCGTGGGTTATGTTTTGAAGAGAAGCAAGAATGAATCTCATAAAGTCATTAATATCAGTAGGGGATGATGTGAGATTTGCTGTAAATGAGTAAAATGAAAATGAATCAGAAGGGTAACCAACTGTTGCATTTGTTCTCATTTGGTCCCTTTCCTTTTTTTTTTTGTACTCAATATACCATCGAACTTGTTGTTTGTGTTCACCATAACCCTTTGACCGGCTATCACAGGTCAAAAGCCGGTTAAAAGGGTTTTGGTAAACGCAAACAACAAGTTCGATGGTATATTGAATACAAAAAAAAGGGATCAAATAAGTACAAACGCAAAAGTTAATTACCCTCAAGAGTCATTTTCCTCTCGGGAAATCTCCCGCCTAACCAGTTGAGACCCGCCAAGTCCTCTACAAATCTCAAGGTCAAAAAATTGGAACGACAAGTCGTCCCCATAGCTACTCCTATAGCAACGACCTTCGTCGTCCCTTTAGGCTTTGTCACTATAGATACTTATTCTTGTAATGCAAATATATGCCAATTTTTACATAATTTATACAATTACACATATTTTGCAATTAAACTTAAATCTCACAATAAATAAAAGTAAATAGAACTTGTGGTGGCGGAAATCAACGAAAATGGTACTTAATGTCGCCGAAAAATTTGGTCTTCACCGGAAAATACTCTCACTTGCCGGTATTCACAGTAAACCCACGAGGTGACCTAGACAAAATGATCAAAAAAACTGAAATTGAAAAGTATTTTGCAATAAATCATCAAATATAGCTAGAAATCGATGTTATAAGAGAAATACAAAGAGAAATTAGAAGTTGAAGTTATCTTCTACCCGAGTTGAACCCGTTTTCGCCAGAGTAAATTGAAACTGTAAACCCCTTTGATCGGTAATCTTACAATGCTGGGGAGTATCTTTGTTAGAATTGATGACAACTCACAGAAAATGGGGGAAGAACGAGACAGTGATGAACACACGAAGGAAGCAGAAAGTGAAGTCTGCGTCTTTTTTTCTTTTTATCTGCGCAAGCCTTTAGCGGCAACACTTAAGTCTTTAGCGGCGAAAACCAGCAACATCGACGACACTCTGGAGGGAAGGTATCAAGTCTTTTTTATTCCACAATTAGTGGCGACAATTTCGACCTTTTGCCGCGACAAGTTGTCGCCGGTATTGGTTTAGTGCGAAAAAGAGGCCCCAACCGTTGAATTAGATACTCGACTGAACAATTAAGGTTTAACAAAAGGGGATAACGCGGATCCGGGTAACAAAACTTTAGCGACGACACAATTAATTGGCGGCAACAATGGCTTTTAGTGGCGACACAACACTTTGTCACCGTAAAAGCCTCTCTCGCCGCTAATTATGTCGCGGCTAAAGTTGTAGTGTTGGTTGAAAGAGTTAACCATTTTAAAAGAAATATTTGTAATTGCCAATAAACCATTAAAGTTAATGCCAACCCATATTATTGGGTTTATATATGGCAATTAGAGTGCCCACCAAGAAATTATAAAATATATTAGTATTATTGTATTTATGGCAAGTAGAGTCGAGTACGCCAAGATAATATAAATATCCGCAAGAAATAATATAAATCTATGATTCCATATTATTGTATTTATAGCAATTATTGTACCCCAATAAATAATATAAATCGATGCAAATCTGCTATCCTCATATTTTGGATAACTGCCCATGTGTTTTACTTTTTAATTAGCGGTTTTACTAGGTCGCCCTATCTGCTTAATTTGGTTACTGGGGTGCCTCCGGAATGGGTATGTTTCTAAATTCTAATTAGTGTACATATTTTATGTGAAAAGATGGACACAATATGTATAGGCCAAATAAATATTTTCAAATGGATGATGAGAGTTTAGGATAATATATCATGGACAGAGTCAGGATTTTGAGCAAGTAGAGTACCCCAGCAAATAACAAAAGTCTTTGGAATCTTCAATTTTTTATTTTAATAACGCTCAACGTGTTTTATTTTATTTTTTAATTAGCCGTGTCGACGTCAAAATTATGACTGGTGGGTAGGTAGATCGCCAAGGAGTAACACAGAGTTGTATATAGAAACTACTTATTAGAAAGAAACATTAAAATTTCAAGACGAAAATAATAATGGAGCTAAAGTCAGGCCTATCTGCTTTCGTTACTGGGGGTGCCTCTGGAATCGGTATATTTCTTTGTGTACATATTTTTTTTTTTTCATAAAAATGGAGACAATGTCGTTGATTCTAGAACTTATTTTCAAATGGATGATGTTCGTGATTCTCTAGTACTGTGATATACATACATGCAGGTAGGGCTCTTTGCCTAGTTCTTGCCAAAAAGGGTATATTTGTAACTGTGGTTGATACTTCTGTTGAGAAAGGAGAGGAGGTTGCATCACTTTCACAAAAAGAAAATCTCAAGTTTCATTCGGGATCATTGAAGTTCCCTTCTGCTATCTTTGTAAGATGCGATGTCAGTAAGCAAGGTGAGTTACTCATTTTTTCCTACTTATTATCGTAATTGTGAAGTTCAATGACATTTATTGAATATAAACAGGAGAAGTGGCTGCTGCATTTGAAAAGCACGTGGAAGTATACGGTGGTTTGGATATTTGTATTAATTGTGCTGATATCGAAACTTCTGTGCCTTTTCATGAAGACCAAACAGATGGATCAAAAACATGGAGACATGCAGTCGATGTGAATCTTGTAGCAGTTATTGATTGCACCCACAAAGCGGTATATATGCTTGTTGTTGACTTGTTTTAACCATGTTGAACTTTAAAGCAATAGATGAACATGTATATTATACTTTGTTAGATGCCGTCTGAACATATAATTTTATTATTAATAGTCAATTTAAAGTTCCATTGCTTCAAATATGTTAGGATTATTTATTTAAAAGATAATTGGTTTGTAATAGGCGGATTTGCTATACATCCGGGGTAGCTCGGAATACCCCTAAAAAAAAATTAGTAGGGTAATTTTTTCTCGAAATCTTTTTCCTTATTATGTATTATGCAAGTTTATTTATTTATTTATTTATTTATTTATTTTTATGTCGGGGATACCCCAATAATTTGATGTGGATCCGCCACATATTAATAAATCATCTATTTCCAAAAAAATGCAGATCAAAATAATGGAAGCTGCAAAAAAACCTGGTGTGGTGATAAATTTGGGTTCGGCATATCCAATGATCTCTGACCCTATCTATTCTTCCAGCAAAGGTATGATTACATTACAATATATATATATATATATATATATATATATATATATATATATATATATATATATATATATATATATATATATATATATGGTTGATAATTATATGGTTGGAAACGTAAGAACAAATATGAACCATTAATTTTAATTGTCAGGTTTCAAGATTAATTAAAAAAATAATAACATTCTTTAATCATATATGAATAACATGGTTTAATCACGTATGAATAATATGCTTTAAATTACTTAATTGCATGTGGGGATGGTGGGGAGGTCAAAGTGGCGGCTTAAGTTGGCACCGAGTAGTGGTGTTGGCAACGTAGTAAGTGTTGGGGGTGGGGGTCAAAGCAAGGGTTGATGGTAGTGGAAGGTGGTGTTGTTGGTAAAGGTGGTTGGGGTTGTGGTAATATGAGGGTGGGGTGTGATGATGTGTGAATATAATGGTGGTTGTGGTTGTGGTGGGTCGTGGGTGGTAGGTGATGATGGGTGGTTGATGGTGGCAGTGGTGTTGGTGGTGGTAAGTAGTGACGAATGGTGGATGATGAGTGGTGGGTAGTGGTAAATAATAGTAGTGGTGGGTGGTATGTGGTGGGCGATATGTAGTAATAGAGTGGGGATGGGTAATTGGTGGTGTTGGGTGGTGGTGGTGGATGGTAGGTAGTGTGTTAGTAGGTGGTGGGTAGTGTTTGGTGGGAGTGGTTAATTGGTGGGTGATGGTAGTAGTGATTGGTGGTGGTGGTGGTTCTGTTGGGTTTTAAGGGTTGATGGGTGGTTGCTTGTGGTAGGTGGTAGGTGGTGGGCGGATGGTTGTGATTGTAGATGGTGGGTGTTAGTGGTAGGTAGTGGTCAATAGTCGGTTGTGGTATGTGGTGGGTTGGTGGTGATGATGGTGGATGATGGAGGTAGTTGGTGGGTGGTGGGTGATAATGGTAACTAGTGAGTGATGATTGTGGGTGATGGTGGTGGTTGGTGTGCGGTATTTGGTGATGGGGTTGGTTGGTGGGTTGTATTGAATGTGGCCGTGATGATGTAATAACAACCACAATTATTATTTTATCTTTTAGTTTAATTAATATTTAATTTTTTATTATTTTTATTTCAAAAATTGAAGTGGATAAATATGTAAATGTAGGTTTGAAAGCATTCTTGTGTCTTCAATTATATAACTGCTTTAAGTTGAATCTTTTATATATATATATATATATATATATATATATATATATTATGTTTTCTCATGTTTATTTTTTGTTTTGTTCTATTGCTTTTTTCTAAAGGGGGTGTGGTTATGTTTACACGATCACTTTCTTCTTACAAGGAAAAAGGCATCCGTGTCAACGTGCTTTGCCCAGAGGTCAAACAAAACTCCTTATTTAAGATTCTCGTTTCGCTTTAAAGATGATAAAATGATTAAAATCTTTTACAAACCATAATTTTTATACTTAATAAGTTATTTCCTTCGACTTGCCTAGAGTTTGCAATCATATGGTTATTTTTATTGTAATATTGTTGGATAAAATTAAAAAAGCAAATGCAAATTAATTCATTCATGAAGGCTATAATCTTCCTATTCTAATAAATGAATATGTTTATTCTTCTATTGACAAGTGTAATAATATTACAAATCCTTATTAATATTATATGTCACTTATCATGCCACTTATCAACCTATTAATTATCAATTTCAAATTTTAAATTTCAAATTTCAAATTTTAAATTTCCCACTCTAATTATATTAAATTGATGATTGATTCTCCATTATAAATTTCAATTTTTAAATTTTTTTACTCTAATTATATTAAAAAATAAAATAAAATTAGTACAAATTATAAGGTGATATAATTTCACGTATTTAAAATAATTGATTAATAATTTTGATTTTTTTAATACAAAAGTTTAATTAATTATATAACTGTGGTTCTCACGGTTATAAACCAGTTAGGAGATAAACAAAGAAATTTTACTGTGTGGTATTTCTGCTGAATAAAGAAAGGTAGAGAGAAAGAATAAAAAGTAAAAGCTTTCTTTAAATAAGAAAACATGAATATTTCCCTTAAGTTTAGCAAATAATAAGCGTTTGACTAAATCCATTAATTAACTAATAGTATATGAACATATATGCAGATTAATCGAGCTAAGAAGGCTAAACATGTGGGTTTTCAGTTTCTTAACCTCAATCGAAGCTCTACTTCCATGGATACAATCATACAAGGTACTATGTTGTATTACTTCATCATAAGAGAGAAATAGAGGGAAACCGATTCTTTAAATTAGGAAATTAATTAGTTGTTCGAGTTGTCATCATATGAAACAGGTGCCTTTCAGCTTATTACCGATGAAAGTAAAGCTGGCTCTTGTTTACTTATCACAAACAATGGAGGCCTTGAATACATGCCAACTTCATCTCAAGAAGCAAAAAACTTGGAGTTGATCCCATCAAGTTTGAAGAAGATAGTTTCATCAGTTGTTAATTCTACAATCGAGATCCCTCATACATATGAGCAACTGTAAGTATATATATTTGTCATCATTTTCAATATTTGTAAGTTTTTGATTACGACTTGTGCCATTTGACACTTGTGATGCAGAATTATTCACACACTTACTAGAAATTTTCGGAATGCTACACGTATAGTGCGCGCACCCTTGAAATTGCCGATTAAACCAGATCATGTTCTCTTAAAAATCATATATGCTGGAGTCAATGCAGGCGATGTAAGTTTTTTGGGTTTCAGTATATTAATAACAATAAATCACATAGTGCTGCTTTTCTTTATTAACTAAATCACACACCCATCTAAGTTATTGACATATGATTCGAGAAGCGTTTGCTGGATTTGGTAGAATGACGGATGTGTTCATTGGGCTGAGAAAAGGATAAAACGGAAAATACTATGTCTTTATCAGGTATGTGGACGTTAAAAATGTAAGAGAAAGGGAAAGGAAGCTTGATGGCACCATAGTTCGAGGAAGAATACTAGAGGTGAATGTGGTGTTACATAAAAGAAAAGAAATTCCAGGTATGACTAAGAATGAAAATCGAGGTCATAATAGCAGACGCAATAGTGCTTTCATTCCTATAAAACAACCATGAGGGTGGGGTTTCAGAGATCAAAGAACATTTGCAAAAGTGGTTGGTCGAGGAAAGAATGGTGTCCACAAGAAGGAAGAGGATCAACGAGGAGATACTTGTAGCTGTTGAAGGAGAAATCTTAAAGTTAGGCATCATTGAATTTGACGAGGATTGGTACCCTTTCAAGTTTGACCTAGATGATGATTTCTATGAAAAATATGAACTTTGCGTAGAAGATGAAGACGATGTAGACAGAGTCTCAGAAACTTGGGTGCAAGAAGGAGATTGTGAAATGGAGGAAGGTGAGATCAGTCTGGTCTCTAATCGGAAGACAGATCCAAAAGTCATGATGGAGACAAACCATATTAGTACAAGTTCTCCGGAGAGCAGGAACTTGGGTAGGCTGGATGAAATGCCGACTCTGATGGAGGAAGTGCAAGGGTCCTCTGGGAGACCACAAACGGTTGAAATTTCGAGGGAGGCAATCGGAAAGCCATATTGGAAACCTACGACAAGCAGTGGTAATGGTAATATCACATCCCTACTTCCTAGTGAAAATATGGATAGGTCCAATAGACTGATTATTGATTATTACCCCTGTTGCCCCGACCCATTTGGACACAAATTTTGGACTTCCCCATGGTTGTTTCGGGCCATTCCCTGTTCATGACATAGGCCCACCCCACACCCCAGGCCAAAACCAATCGATTATCAGATCCTTATGTAAAAGGAAAAGGTATATGGTTTCCGGTTCGGATCTACCTACTAATATAATAGCCCCGATGTCAAGTCTATCTGAATCAGAACCCCCTCCCCTATTGGTGCGACTCACCAACACAATAATACAAGAGCAATTGAATCCTCCTATAATGCTATCGATCAAAATAAGCGGCCTGAAATTTCGTCCAAAGGTACTTCGTCTATACTTGCGGATTCAACTAGCTCTACTTCGGTGGAAGTAGAAAAAACTGCAGAGGTTGGAAAGGAGTTGGGTTTTGAAATTGATTCTTCAAACCCGGTATTACTGGATATAATGGGAGCAATCAGCGAAGAGAACATACCCCAATAAACTGTTTAAGTTTAAATCTTCGAGGAATATGCGAAGATTATAAGGTTTCATGGGTCAGAAGGTTAATAACAAGATATCACACAACATATCTTGGGGTGCAGGAAACATAATTGTCAGATGAAAATGAGATAGATGTTCCAAGCTGCTGGGTAATGACAACTTTGGGTCTGTAGAAACGCCTTCCACTGGAATATTAGGCGGATTATTATGTATTTGGGATTCCCGTTTATACTAGGTAGATGAAGTGATATAATCGAGGCACTTTATAATCACTATTAGGAGGTGGTCAGGTATCCAAGACGATATTTGCAAATGTATATGGTGATGGATTTTATACAAACAATCCTATGTGTGCATGCAACCCTAGATTTGGATCTATGTTTTCACTATTAGTCATCCAACATTATGAACACAAAAAGAAACCTAGCATGCTCCTAGTATTTTTGAAAATCACATAGAAGAATCGAATATATACCTCTTGTTGTTATGTAGTAATAAAAACTTGTTTCTTAAATCTCTTTATCTTTGAAAGCATATACCACAAGTGTAGTAGCTCTAATGGCTCACAAACACCAATAGCAAATGAAGAAGTAAGATATATATATATATATATATATATATATATATATATATATATATATATATATAGAGAGAGAGAGAGAGAGAGAGGAAAGGAGAAATTTGGCTCTAGGAACTCTAGGGATCAAGTGACCGAATTTCCAATGTCAAAGGGTCCTTTATATAGGTGTATGAATTAAGGTTTCAGTCATTATCCTTATCTGGTTTCCTGGCCACCAAGCAGCCCATAAGATAATTCTAGAAGCCTTATCACGGACAAATTCTAAGGCCTTATGCATTGAATTCGTCCACCCTATCATCAAGGGCTTCCTAGCCTAACTTTGTAACTATCACATAATTATAGTCCAGTCCCCTTAGTTCAATTAACTTCTTTTGATCACAAAATTAATTCTTGACCAATGTTAATTAAACAAATATGATTTCTCTTTTAATATATTATTTTTATAATATATTAATAAACCATAATAACCTCTCTCTCTCTCTCTCTATATATATATATATATATATATATATATATATATATATATATATATATATATATATGGGGATAGGGAATATACATTACATCCCCACCTAAGCTTAGGTACTAAACTTTTAAAGTATGTCGTTTTAACATGCTAAATATACCCGGTTTGGTTTCACTTGGTAAATATATCATTCTCCATAACATTTCTTTCTTTCATTATCGTTTTATCATTTCTGTTTTCTTTCCTCAATTATAGTTTATTACTTCATCCAAGTGAACATTACTAAACCCTAAACCTAAACCTAAACCCTAAATTCAAACCCTAAACACTAAAGCTAAACCCTAAACCCCAAATCTAAACACTAAACCCTAAACCCTAAACCTAAACCCTAAACCCTAAACCTTAACCCTAAACCCTAAACCTTAAGCCCTAAGCATAAACCTAAACCCTAAACCCTAAACCTTAACCCTAAACCTTAACCCTAAACCCTAAACCTTAAGCCCTAAGCATAAACCTAAACCCTAAACCCTAAACCCTATTGTGTCGATCTTGAGTTTACATCTTGAAGTATTAATCGTGAATCCATTAACAGTAATCTTTATATAGTAAAACAATGTATTTTCAAGAGGTTTAGTACCTAAGCTTAGGTGGGGCTGTAATGTATATTCTCTTTTCCTTATATATATATATATATATATATATATATATATATATATATATATATATATATATATATATATATATATATATTATTCCTCCAGTCAAGTTGCTTTGGTGAAGGCAACCCAAAAGGACCATGCACAACCGGGTCAAGTATTTACTAAATATGGTTACAGGCTTAGACATTAATCCAACATATGGGCCCCATGATTCACAAAACAAGAAAAAGCTCTGGGAAGATCTTAGCCAGATTAAGTCTTCTAAGAATGGTACCTGGATAATTTTTGTCAATTTCAACACTGTAAGAAGAGAAGGTGAACGATTCAATTCTCAATTCAATCCATTGGATGCTTTTTGGTTCAATCGGTTCATTGAACAAGTTATTTTAAATGACCTTATAATGGGGGGTCATAGATACACGTTCTTCTGCCAGCATGATGTAAAGATGAGCAAGCTAGATAGATTTTTAGTTTGTAATAACTTCCTAAGATATTTTCCGTCTGCCTCAACCACGGCGGTCCCAAGGGAGATTTCTGACCACTGCCCGATCATTAACGCTGACTTTGGCAAAGCTCCATTCTGGTTCTTTAATTTCTGGATGAAACGTGAAAGGTTTAATCAGATTGTTCATGATTCGTGCGAGAAATTCATAGGATACGGCACACATGATGCTTATCTGGCAGCTAAACTTCGGTTCCTTAAAAATGTAATCAAGGCGTGGAGGGCAAAGGATCATCCGTTAGAGATTGATGAATTAAATAAGCTCAAAGGTAGATTCTATGAGCTAGACACCACCACTGAATCAAATGGGCTTACAGATGTTGAAATTCTAGAAAGGAGAACCGGGATGCAAAGGATAGCAGAGATAGAAAAGATGGCAATCCTTGACCAGAAACAAAAGGTCAAAATAAAGTGGACCATAAATGGAGATGAGAATACTCGTTTTTTCCATGGGTGTGTCAATAACAAGACAAGCAAGAATATCATTCGTGGATTGATTATCAATGGATCCTAGAATACAAATGTTTCAATGACTAAAGATGAAGCGTTTGTTTTTTATCAGAGGAAATTTCAGGATCGATGGCCCTGCAGATCAAAAATTACTAATAGCATCTTTAAGAAGATTGATTCCTCTTCTAGATCCAAACTTGAATAACCTTTCAAAGCCGAAGAGATCAAAGGTGTTGTATGGGCATGTAGGGGTGATAAGGCCCCTGACCCAGATGGATTCACCTTCAATTTTATCAAAAAATAATGGGAAGTACTCAAGGGGGATATTATTGAATTCGTTAAACACTTAAAGAGGGAGTGTAACTTGTCTTTTATTACTCTTGTCCCAAAGATTAAAGATCCTCTTCATCTTAGAGATTATAGAACAATTAGTCTAATTGGATGTTGATACAAGATAATCTCCAAGCTCCTAGCCAACGGGATAAAAGGGGTAATTGACAAGAACATTGGTGAGGCGCAGACGACATTTGTGAAAGGGCGGAACATTCTTCATGGACCTCTAATTGTTAATGAGATATGTGCATGTGCTAAGAAGGTAAAAAAACAAGTTTTATTGTTTAAGGTAGATTTTGAAAAAGCTTTTGATTCTGTGAATTGGGTATACCTTGAATCTATCCTTCTTCAAATGGGATATGGAGATAAATGACGCATGTGGATTTGAGGGTGCATACACACAACTAGACTTTCGGTTCCAATTAATAGATCTCATACGGTAGAGTTTGAAATGGAAAAAGGTGTGAGTCAGGGTGACCCGCTCTCTCCATTCCTGTTTATAATAGCAATGGAAGGGATTAATGTTGCGATGAAGACGGCCTGCCAGAAAGGCATTTAATCAAGGAATAAAAATACCGAATTCTGATACGATAATCTCGCATCTATTCTACGCCGATGACGCTATATTTGTGGGAGAACGGAGAACATAAAAAACTTATCGAGGGTGCTACAATGTTTCCAGATGTCCTCTGGATTGAAAGTTAATTTCAATAAATCTAGGGTGTTTGGTATTGGAGTTGATATGGTAGAAACTACCCGTAGGGTTGGGCCACTAGGATGTCAACCAGCCTCGTTACCATTCAATTACCTTGGTGTCCCTGTGGGTGCAAACATGAAGTTGATGAAGTATTGGAAGCCTCTAATCGTATGCAAAATTGTCTCCATGGAAAGAAAAAGCACTATCCTTGGGAGGAAGACTAACTCTGGCTAAAGCGGTTCTTGGTAGCCTTCCATCCTACTTGAGAAAATTTGTAGACAGTTACTTTGGGGAGGTAGTGATAACAAGTACAAGATAGCGTGGGTACCATGGGACAAAGTCGTGGCGCCAAAGGATAAAGGGGGACTAGGCTTAGGCTCTATTCGGGCCTTTAACTTATCATTGATTGCTAAATGGTGGTGGGCATTAAAAACAAACCAATCAGCTTTATGGTGACGAAAAATTATGGGTCTTCATAATTTAAAAAATAAGCCTGATCATTACCTAGCCAAGAAAACTTTACCGGGCGTTTGGAGGAATATTGCGGAGACAACAAATGATTTAAAGAGTTTTGGCATTAACTTTCAAGATATATTAAAGAAAAAGGTGAAGAATGGAATGGACACTCTTTTTTGGATGGATGGGTGGTGTGATAGCTAACCTTTCAAAATGAGGTTTCCTGCACTGTATCAACTGGAGAGACGGAAAACTTGTACGATTAGTCAAATGGTACTTTTGGCTAGGCAAATATGGAACTACAAAACTACGCCGTCTTTTGCTGAAGAAATCCACAACCTTCACGGTTTGATTAATGCCATTGGAAAATTTCAACCAACCTTTGGAACCGATACATGGAAATGCCCTAAATCGAATGATGGTATCTACAATATAGATACTATCAGATTAATAATTGATAATACCGAACCAACGAATAATGAAGTATTTATCCCGTGGATTCATGATGTTCCAATAAAGGTTGCTACCTTCATTTGGAGAGCTAATCTGGAACGCCTTCCAACAAATACATCGCTATCAAAAAGAGGAGTGCCGATTACAAACGTCGCATGTCCACAATGCATGCCGGAGGATGAAGATATCGAACATATTCTGATCCGATGTCCTACGGTGGTCATTATATGGGAGTGGACATTTAGATGGTGTGACATTCCAGCTCCACAATTTCATACCATCGGAGAACTTATCGGCTTCCTTAAAAACTGGGGAAGATGTCAAAGAAGGAAAAGCAACCTAATCAGCGTGTGCTATGGTGTGTTATGGCTACTTTGGAAATCAAGATGTGATTGGGTGTTTATGAACATAAAGACCTCACTTTAAGATCATGGACAACATAAAATCTCTGGTGTTTACTTGGAATAAGCATAGGAGATCTAATTGTTCGTATAAGTGGGTAGAATACTGCATATGTCCACTGAAATGTTTGTAATTATCTGAATTTTGCGGTTTTTCCTTCGTTGTAATCCTTCTTTTTTCTGATTTTTCATGGACCCGTCTAGTATCTTGCTAGGCGGTGGACCTTAATAATATTTGCCGGTTCTAAAAAAATCTAATCATGTTTTGTTTGGCAGGTGGAATATAGTAATAATGGTTACTTAAGTGGAACCAAAGAAGAAATAAGCTCTAAACTTCCATTTTATCCCGGACTTGAGGTATAAAAACACATACCGAAAACATTGATAATGTAATACTTTTTAGAATTGGAGTTAAATTTCTAGATTCGAGGATTTGTTTAAATATTTTGAATATTTGGTTCATGTTTTTGACCATTTACAAAATAAAGGCTGTAGGATTAATTGCTCTAGTGGGTGATGAAGTTAAAAATCTAAAAGTCGGCACTCCAGCAGCAATACTTTAATATGGGAGCCTATTCTGAATTTACCATGGTATATGATTATATTGAATTAATTTCTTTTTTATCTGCTTTCATTCGAGTATTCTAGATAAACTATTTACTCAAATGCAAACTTACAAGGTGTATAGTAGGATCAATTTCTTATCTGATTCTAATTACCATCTTATATTATTAGGTACCATCAGAACTCATTATTCCTGTCGAATCACCATACCCTGAAGTTGTTGCCATGCTTGCTTCTGGACTTACTGCATCCATTGCTCTAGAGGTTTGTTTATATTTTAATTTTTAATTAAAATGTAATATTCATATTCTTTGATTGAGACTTCATTTGCACGTTACCTTTTTCCTATAGGCAGCACACATGGAGTCTGGAGAGACAGTTGTTGTCACTGCTGCTGCAGGAGGAACCGGACAATTTGCAGTTCAAGTAATTATCTGAAGTTTTTTAATTAATAATCTCATTCAACTGTATGTGATGAATTATTCAATGATTGATTTTCTGGGATAATATTAGATGGCAAAATTAGCTGGAAACAAAGTAGTTGCAACCTGTGGAGGCAAGGATAAGGCAATATTTCTAAGGGATTTGGGAGTTGATCGAGTCATCAACTACAAAGATGAATCTGTAAAAGATGTATGTACCTTAATTTCCATCATCTAAAGTCGATTTAAGTATTATATACACAATGTTCGCTAGGTGATATAATTATATATGCAAATTAAATTGTCAGGTTCTTAAGAAGGAATTCCCAAAAGGGGTTGACATTGTTTACGAATCTGTTGGTGGTGACATGTTTGATTCATGCTTCAATGCGTTAGCAACTTTCGGGCGAATGCTTGTCATTGGAACGACCTCTCAGGTAATTGAGTTAATAAATTGTAGTATTTATGTTATTTATTTTTGATTTTATATAATTCTATATTATGGTTCTCCCTTATCACATCGTATCTTTCCTATTTTTGTTTCAGTATAAAGAAGGGATCGGACATGAACCAAGAAACTATCCAGGAATATGTGATATACTTCACCAACAGAGCAAGACTGTGGTATGTAATGGTTTCAAGTCTTACATCCATCCCATGAAAATGAAATGTTTAAATGAACCATATTTTAACATTTTAAGAGATGTGTTTGATTAGTTGCTAAATATCCAAAGTACCCTTAAAAGAAAAAAAAAAAAAAAAAACCCGAATAAGTTTATGGATACATAACATCTTGGTAAACCAGGGCAATATTATTAGTCAAATTGGTATTTTACTTGGAACTAGCAAATTATTGCAATTTTAATCGGAAAATTATAACTTCAGAACCTTGAGTGCATATGTTTTTTTTTCTTTTTTCTTTTTCATGGTAAAATTTTGAGAAACTTGCAGATTGGATTCAACCTAGGCCATTATCAGCACGTATGGAAAAGACATCTAGATAATATGGTTCATCTTTTCTCTATGGGAAAGCTAAAGGTATCATCATATATATATATATATATATATATATATAATATATATATATATATATATATATATATATATATATATATATATATATATATATTATAACTTTATTAGCATCTTTGGGATAATTCTTTCTAATAGAGTTCACATGCTACTCTTTCTTTGCAATCATATCAGGTTGGAATAGACCCTAAGAGCTTTGTGGGTGTGCAATCTGTTGTTGATGCAGTTGAATATATCCATTCTGGAAAAAGCATTGGAAAAGTATGCACATACAATACAATCAAACTTTATAGAAATCTTGCATGTATATCGTTAACAAGATTTACTTTTCTTTGTAGGTTGTTGTTTGCATGGACCCGAGTTTCAACCAAAAAGTGGCCAATTAAGCTTTAAGCTTACGAATAATCAATAAACGCCAGTAGGCTGCAAAAACGTATTGTGTTCTAGTTCCTTCATGAATAAAGTTGAGATTATTAGAAATTTGGGATGTAAAAGCACTTGGAATTCTACGAGTATTCACTTTCAAATTAATGCGTTTCTGTGGTACTCTCGAAATCCTCAATTAGATAAAACATGAAAATCAGAGAAAATAGAAGAAGAGAATGAGTGGTTATGAATTCGTGTCTTGTACCGGAACATAATGACAAAAATTGGTTATAAACCATCCAGGTCCGAAAAATGCCACCAAGCAGTTTTCTAGGTTTTAAAATTACCAAAAACTATCCTAAGACTGTTTTAGTAACCAACAAAACCATCCTAAATTCGAGTTTTCCAAAAAGGGTCAAAATTAGGTTAATTTTCAGAAAAACAAATTTCAACCCCAGTCGGGGCTCTGCCCCTTGGACCCCGCCAGGGGTTGCCGTCCCTTGAACCTTGCTCCCAGTGGCGCTGCCCTCTGACCCTGTTCGTTTACGGGCTTCGCCCATAAATGACATTCTACTTTAAATCTTGAATAAACTTAAACAAGTGTCCACTACATACCTTCGTTACTCATTTAATATTTATCAAGATTGATTTTGGTCAATTAGTCAATCCATTATACTTAAACACAATTAGTGAAATAATGCACCAACAAACCTTCGTCATTTAAGCGTAATCTTGATTAATTTAAAACAAAACATAACAACAACAAACTGATGCATAAATGAAATTTCGTGATGATTAAACTTCACATTAGTATATTATTCATCCCAAATATTTGAATATCAGGGTGTAACTAGGATATAACCACTTTTATTCATAGTGAATACATGAAGACAATACACACAACAATTTACATTCTCCTAAGTTCTAAGTGGGCAATATACATTACTAGCTTGTGTCATATCCTTCAATAAGCCTATCAAAACCAAGTCTCAACTTTTTGAAGCAGCTAAACTTCATGCTTATATAGGTAGTTCTTTTGTTCATTGACCTGCAAATCTAATTTTTCAAAGAACTATTAAGAAATAAAATTTCAACCTCTTTTATTTGTAGTACTGAACACATACCTTGGGATGATGATAACAATGTGTTCCAATATTCAAATATCAATCTTTCCACATTGAATTCAACATCTAAAATTACATTAGATGGGGATTGGGTATCTCAATATGAAAGATTTTAAGTGGACTTTAAACCCATCTATATAGCCACCTTGTGCACAAGATCTCTTCCTAACCCTTTGGTTAGATGATCGGTCAAATTCTACTAAGTTCTCACAAACTCCGACACAAATACCACACTGCTCATGATGAACTCACTGATCATGACATGTCTAGCACCTAAATGTTTAGACTTCCCATTATACACTTGACTATAAGCCTTAGCCAAGGTTACAATACTATCACATTTGATGGAAATGGTAGATATCTGTTTGGGCCATAATGAAATTTCATAAATCAAATTCCTTAACCACTCGTCTTCTTTACCAATAGCAGACAGTGCAACAAACTCAAATTCTATGGTTGAGTTAGTAATACAAGTTTGTTTCTTGGATACCCAATAAATGACACTTCCGTCAAGACAAAACACCCAACCACTAGTAGATGAGTGATCCTCTTAATTGTTAATCCAATTGGCATCGAAATATCCTTCCAAAGCATAAGGATATCCACTATAAGTTAAACCATAATACTCGATCCCTTTCAAATACTTGAATACTCTTCTTACCAACTGTGAAATTTGAATAATAGAATTATTTTGGATGTAAACATGCAAAATGAAACACAACAATAAATAATTGAAGAAGGCGGTACACATACTCATAAATAAATCTCCATTATTTAATCACCAAAACAAATAAAGATTTATCTATTGCATAAAGGTTTCGAGGTAATCGACTTATCTTCTAAACTTGTCAACATTTCTCATGCCAATGTGTTGATACTCTTAGCATGCATATCATGTTCTTCTTTGGAAAACATTCACTTTACAACTAGATCTCCATCCTTCACCTCTTTTTAGATGTAGTGGAATTCCCTCCTTCTATGTATTGACCTTCTATGATCTCAAGAATCCCTAGTCAATATGACTGCAATTTCATAGAATGTTTCTAATGCCAATTTATTATTCAAAATAAATCCAAGATCAACTATGAAGTTTTCTAATCCAGGTACGCTCATTGATTATTTCACTCGCACTAATGTGGTCATAGCCAAATTATTGAATCTACCAACATCTCCTACATGAAACCTTTCATGATACAACTTAAAATGAATATACATTTAAGCTATGACTCAACATCATCTCTAAAAATCATCATGTTCTCTATTATCTACAAGCAACCATTCCTCGGTATCTTTCAATACCTTAGAATGTTCTTGATAGTTATCTAATGATTCAGTCATACAAATTTCTGACACAATCTCACGATGCTCAAAAGATCTGAGACATCAACACAATTCATATCATTCATGATAAATCCTATATCTAAAGTATATGGGGCTCATCTTGCTCTATCATTTTCATGATCGGAAAAAAAGGAGTTTTGAGATTCATTCAACTCCTTGCTATGAAGCATATGGACATTCCCTTATGAATTTTCCAAAACCATTCGACACATTGTGATTTGAATGAATCCTATTTTTGATCTATATCCTTTTTTTAGATCCGAATACCAAGTATTAATGTTGCTTTACTATGTCCATCATAGCAAAACAATTCTCGAGCTTTTGCACTTTGCAATTTAGAGACATTGTTTCATATGAGTGGTAATGTCATCAATATGAAATACTAGGAAGACATTGACATTCATACTAGCTTTGACATGTACTCAAGACTCATATGGACTTCACGAAATACAACACTCTTTGACTCTCTCATGTAAGAACATATTCCTGCTACATGATGCTTGTTAAAATCTATGAATAGATTTCTCAAGCCTACACACCTTATATGGATACTTTGTATGTTTAAATCCTTTCAGGATGTGTCACACACCCCTCGAGGGCTTCCTATTAAGAAAATTTGTTTAAACATCCTCTTTACCATATGTTTTATCAAAGAAGGCAACATAGGTAACAAATAACCAAATAGACCATTTCTCAGCTACTGGTGAGAATGTT